TTGTGTGTGTGTGTGTGTCCGCAGCAACTTGTCTGCAACTTTCAACTCGGGAACCACAAAAGCTAGAAAGCTGAAAATTTTAGGGTAATGATCCCCCTGCCCGCGCTCAACCTTGCCCATTCAAATTCAGCCTTTCCGTATCCGCAGGTAACACATATGGCCCCGTGGAAGTTTTTTATGAGTAAATTAATACCTCGAGAACCACGGAGTCTAGGAGGCTGAAATTTTGGGGTAATGACCCCCTGCCCACGCTCAACCTTGCCCATTCAAATTCAGCGTCCCCGCGCTCTCGGGTACCACCTATGGGCTAGTGAAAGTTTTTACGGGTAAATTATTATTTCGGGAACCACGGGGTCTAGGGAGCTGAAATTATAGGGTAATTACGCCCTGCCCGCGCTCAACCTTGCCCATTCAAATTCAGCGTTTCCCCGCTCTCGGCTATCACCTATGGGCCAGTGAAAGTCTTTGCGGGTAAACTATTAACTCGGAAATCACGGAAAGATATTCACCGTTCAGGTTTCATGCGCCGGTGCGTGCAATTTTTAACTGTTTTCCAGTGTTTGAACTATTTTTCCATAGACCCAAGTAAAAAGCAGTGAAAATCATTAATAGGCAATCGTTCGATTGGCTGAATTGCACAAAATGCATGATCGCACCGGCTAGTCTTGTGCGCGTTGCTATTTATTTATATAGTAAGGAGGGACTTTTCCCTGGATTTGTGCCGTCTGATAGTTTTCTTGCTGCTTGTGGCTGTGGTACTTGTTTTCCCCGAGTTCTTTCCTTCGGATTTTGGTGCTGAGTGTTTGGTACTTTATTCGCCACCTACACGCACTTCATCTTAGTGATTCTCCTACGTTTCTATTCCATAATATCTGTCGTGAATCGGTAAAATCCTTCGGTTGAAGTGGTGATTTACCGCACTTTTTGGGAAAAAACTGCGACTTTCCGGTGAATTTTCTTGCCAAAAAAAATCACTATTTGCCATTGAGAAATGTCTTAGGCGTTTTTTTGGGAATCAGAATGAACGAGGAGTGCATCATCCGAAAATTGATCGCCGATGGTGATGGTGGCGGTGACGATCGTCGATTCTTCACATTGCTACCTCTCCTGCTGAAAGTTGCCAAGGATCCCGAGAATTCGCAAAGGTTATCATTATTATTATGATTTTTGTAATATTTACATCTAGCAGATTGTGGCGAAATAATAATTACTTTTATATGGAAGTAAATCCTTTCAAAAATTGTGGTTAAAAACGTTTATGCGTTCGGAATTGCATCAATTGGTAGCAAGCGTCAACGGCATCCCTCACTGGCTGCACTTTCGATGACTTCCTCTTTTGGATCTGGGTCCCTGGCATGAACTGGTACTAGTTACCATCGGAAAGAATCAACGAATCTACTAGCGCAATGTACATACAGGCTTGCTTATTTGCGAGATCCAAATAGCATTTCCAGTTTTTATGCGTTTTTTTTGCATCCACGCAATGCAGAAAATGCATATTTGTGTGACTCTGTGTGTGCGCTGGGCGTCTGTACCGATTTTTTATTTTGAGACCTAGAAAAGCTACAGGGCTGAAACTTTGGGAACTTAATCTACATGCATCTGTGGACCCCCATCCCCAAAGTGGCCGATCTTACCTTCGTAGTATCCACGTACGGACCCGTGGAAGTTTTTTGCGGGTAAGTCGCTAACTCGGGAACCAGAAAAGCCAGAAGAATGGAATTTGAAGGAGATGTTTCCCGTCCAAGTAGGCATTGATGAGTTCAAACCCAACCCCGGGTATGCGTGGCACCCATGTATGGGCCCACCAAAATTTTTTTCGGTTAAGTTGTTAACTCGAAAACGCAAAAAGCTAGAAGACTGGAATTTTAAGGGGATACTCCCCGTCCACGTAGGTCCTAATGAGTTCACACCCAGCCCTTGGGTATGCGTGTCTCCTGTGTACGAGCCCATAAAATTTTTTTGCGGGTAAGTTACTAGCTCGGGAACTAGGAAAGCTAAGAAGCTGAAATTTTAAACGGATGCTTCCTGACAGTCCTGGCGGCCAGTCTCAATTCTTTTAGCTAGAAGCATTTGCCGGAAAAATCGATGCCGGTAGCGACAAAAACTACGCGGAATGCAAAAAACGTATCTTCGCACTGGCAGTCGGGCGTTGGCCAGTTCGTCAATTATCACAATTCACTTTTATTGCTCTCCACGATGGACCAACAGCACCAAACAAACTGCATATGTTAACACATGAAAAACTTCAAAGCCCGTCCTCTTCCAGTCTCCTAGCCAGGGATATTCATTGTTTGCATCTTTAAAATTTCTGAAACACTTGAAAGGAATGGATGTCACAGCGATGGCGAATTCGCGAGCTTCAGCGGTAAAATGGCTTTAGTTATCTGTGCTTCATACCTGCCAAGTTTTGATTCCGTTGTTGTAGTACCTCTACAACTTTTTCATTTTTTTT